TAGTGAGGTTGGCCCAGGATCGGACATTGTTTTGTTCTGCTGTGCATGGGGTCGCTATGAGTCGGTGCCAACTCGATGGCACCTAACAACAACAACAAATATCTCATTTTATGTATATACCACATTTTATTTACTCATTCATCTGTTAATGGAAAGTTGAGTGTTTCCACCTTTTACTTATTATTTACTTATTGTGCTGCAGTGAACATTAGGATGCAAGTATCTGTTTGAGTTCTTGTTTTCAAGTCTTTGGAGTCTATACGTAGGAGTGGAATTGCTGGATCCTATGATAATTCTGTTTAATATTTTGACAAACCATCAAACTCTTTTCCATAGAGGCTGGCCATCTTAACTTTTAAAAATAATGTTTCCTAAATGATGTGTAGTTGTACACCCTAAAGAGGCATCAAGGCTTCATGCTCATTAGACATTGGGCCTCTTTAGCCCCATGGATCAAAAGGACACATTAGACATATAAACTTACAGTTGTTTATGATCTATATGGCAGGAACACAAGCATCAAGAAGAATGGCTACAATATAAGAAAGGCTGTGTTCCTTTTAAATAACTTACATTTTAGCTTCCATTCTATTTAATTATTGTCACTAATGAATTTAATATCCAGTGTCAACTGCTTCCAACATCAAAGAGTCTTGTTGTTAAAGAGTCAGTTTTGATCCATAGCGACCCTGGATAGGGTTTCCGAGGAGCGGCTGGTAAGCTTGAACTGCCAACCTTGCAGTTCAAAACTTTGTAGTCCAGCACATTAACCCACAGCGCCACACCAGGACTCCAGAGGGTCTTGGGATATAGTAAGTCAATTAATTGTCTAAATTTGACTCTAGAGTATTGCATGGTTAATGGGTAGAGAAAACCTTTTAGGATGAGCAGTTCCTGCACTTTGGGACAGCTTTGTTCTTGTTTAAAGCTTTTTGTGGAAAAGACTGTGAACATTTGGGTTTTGGGAAGCATTGGGTAAGTTCTAATCCTAAACTTTACTTTCGCCATGCAGTCAGTTCTGGTCATTTCTGCCTAGTTTCTCTTGTAAAATAGAAACAACTTCTCTGAAAGTCTTGTTGTGTTGTAGTCATGAGATGAAACCACATATGTCCATCAAGTGCCAGGGAGAGAGAGTCTCAACACCACGTATGCCAACAAAACATTTACTGCACAGTGTTACTCTAAAATCAGGTCCAAAGCCAGATCACATCCATCCTAGGTCACTAAAGTGCAAGGGATAAGATTCTTCATTATTGAATCTGGACATACCAAACCAAACCCTTTGCTTATCGTGTTGCTTTTAGCTCTTGGTGAACTCATGTGTTACAGAATAGAACTCTTCATACAGTTTTCTTGCTGTGACCTATATCTAAATATATTACCTTTCTTTTGCAATTCTAATCTACTAGCTTGATCCAAATTGCCAACTTCAGTCATAAACTCTTCGCTCCACTCTGGGACCTTTTGTATTAAAAGTGGTATCTCATGATGTTGTTGTTAAGTGCCGCTAAATCAATTTCAACTCATAGTGACCCTGTATAGGGTTTCTGAGGCTATAAATATTTATAGGGGCAGAAAGCTTCATCTTTCTTCCACAGAGCAGCTGGTGGATTAGAACTGCTGACCTTGCAGTTAGCAACCCAACGTATAACCCACAATGCCACCAGGGCTCCATACAGTATAAGCATATTGTTCTACTAAATATTACTCAAATAATTAGCTTAGCTGTTAACAGATTTTAAACTAATGTTTACAAGAGTCTGAAACTAACATAAAACTAAAATTGCAATATGTAAATGTCATAATCAGGAACACTCCTAACATCGATTTTTCCTTCATTACAACAGGGCAGTAGATACACTCCAGCCTATCAACAGTCAAAGAAATCGGGAATAGCAAGAGTCACTTTTGACTTATATAAGTTGAACCCCAGGGACTTCATCGGCTGTCTCAATGTGAAGGCCACCATGTATGAGATGTATTCTGTGTCCTATGACATCCGGTGTACCAGCGCCAAGGCCCTGCTGAGGTAAGGGATTCCACAGGGGTCAACCAAAGGGAACTCAAGACTGCTCACAGTCAGAATAGAGCAACTGGTCCCAGCTTCCTCCTTTGCTGCCTGGGCAGAGTCTGAAGTGCCAGGCGAACTTGTTATTGTTGAAATACATTCTTTTTTCATGTTGCCTTAGACAGTTTAGCTTAGACAGTTGAAATAAGTCACAGACTAATTTTTTTTTAATAGACTATTTTAAACCAGAAAGTTTTAATACTATAATCTTTAAATTTAAAAATATAATATTTTTTTTTCTTCAAAGATCATTAAATACTCAATGGAAACAAAAACCACATAATAAATGTAAGGAAGAACCAAGTTTCTTTTAAAAGCTAAGAGCTGCATATTTTAAAACATCTATTTTGAGCAATAGTAGCTAAAACCATACCACGGTGAGTCTGACCTGATTTGTAGAACAGCCACCCAAACTTTGATAAACTCTTTTATTTGTGTTTCTAGTCGTTGTGTAAATTATCCTTCCTGGTAATGTAGTCCGGACACACTCCTCTACATTATACCCAGCCCCATCAGCCTCGCAGACTAGAGCCAGGCTGTCTACGGGGTATCACCCTGTATAGGGCTTCTTGTATACCCGGGAACATTTAGAAAACAGAGATGTTTGAGAGGCTACCTCGGTTTCCTGTTGCATAACCACACTAGAGACCCCAGCTCTGACACCTGTCTTAGACCTGAGCAACCTGCTGGGTGAATGCGAATAGGTTACTCAAATTCTCTTAGCTTCAGTGTCATCATTCTACAGTGAGAAGGCTGCTTTCTTTCTACTTCTTTATGGTTGCATAGGCTCTAAATACACTACTTCCAGTTCTTTAATACATCCACCCTTGATCCTTAAAAGAACCAGTGTAGGAGGAATGAATGAAAGGAGAAAGGCTGACAGTTACTGCAAAAAGTTTGCAACTACTATCTCCCAGAGCTCTCAGTAAATCCCCTTTGGGCAAGGCTTGTCTGAAACTGTTTCTCACCTGCTGTCCCCATAAAGACTACCCTTTTCTTCTCTCAGCACGGTGGTGGCGATGTGCCACTGAATCAGTTCCAACTCATAGCAACCCTGTATAGGGTTTCCAAGGCTGTAAATTTTTACAGGGGCAGAAAGCCTCATCTTCTGCAGAGCAGCTGGTAGAGTCAAACTGCTGACCTTGTGGTTAGCATCCCAGCTCGTAATCCTCTAAGCTACCAGGGTTCTATTCTCTGAGCATTGTTGTTAAGTGCTGGTGAGTCTGTTCTGACTCATAGTGACCCTGTATAGGGTTTTCAAGGAGTGGCTGGTGGGTTTGAACCACCAACTTTGTAGTTAGAAGACCAGAGCTTATCCTATAGTGCCACAGCAGGACTCCAAGAGGGAAAAGGCTGCTCTGTTCTGCAGCTCCTGCCTACATGAAGCTGTCCAGGTATATGGTTTCTGTGTAACCTCCATCTTCTACTTACACAGGATTGCTGGTAGATGCTTAGACAACCATTACTGATGCAGTGTTGAAATCTTCATGATTTGCAAAAATGAGAGGAAATTTTAGCCTTATTGTTTCATTTTTAAAGTGAGACATGAGGTCCAACAACTTAGATAGCTATAATGAAGAAAGTAAACCTCACCTAAAACCCGACCTTGGCAAAATCTTTCTTGAAAGACAAAATCAGTTCACAAAACAGCCACAGAGTTTCCTGAAACCCCTCAAACAAAAGCAATGCCTATGAACAGACTGTTTTCAAATGGCAATCACCATGAGAATAGGTCCCTAGGACAACATGTCCTACCCCCATCTCAATCTCAGACCAGGACAGTTGGGCCTCCCAGGCCTGAGTGACTCAGGATGAGCGTTAGCCACAGCGCAAGTGGTTGTTGTCCTGCTACTAACTTACTAGTGATGGAACCTTAAAAATAAAAAAGAAGAAGAAATAGAAAACGAGTTTGAGTTAAAGCTATTTTTTTAGTCTGAAGCAGCATGATTGCCAAACTCAGCCCTAAGACTTAGAAGCAACGACAGGGTCCAGTTTTCTCTCACATAACCTCTGAGAACAAGTTTGAATACCCTAGTTGTCTTAAACAAACTGGGTTATAGGATTATGATTCCAGTTTTTGCTAAAACTATCTCTCCTTGACCCTGGCTTATCCTTTTACACCAACTTTATTGATTTCAGTAACAAGCTTCACACAACAAATAACAATGTTGAAATACTCAACTATCCAAAGTACTAGATATAATATACATTTGGAGAGTGGGGTTCTGTAAACTATGTGGGACCAAACTATCCTTCCCAAAGCATTCTCGACTCAACTAGGTTCCATGATGCATTGCAATGGCCACACAGAACTGCAACACTATAGTCACAGTTTGGAGTTTATTACTGAAGTTAACAGGGTCAGAAATGCACAGGACTCACTGGTTCTCATCAGAACAGCCTCTCCTCAGTCATGCCCTCAAGCAGAACTCTCTCTGCCTGGCCAGTGTTACTAAGTTCTTGTGTTGTTGTTGTTGTTAAAGTGTTGTTGAGGCAGTCCAGACTCATAGTAACCCTGTATAGAGTTTCCAAGGAGCAGCTGGTAGGTTTGAACTGCTGATCTTGTTGTTAGCAGCCCAGAGCTTATCCTACAACACCATACCAGAACTCCAAAAAGCTCTTTTCGGGTTCTTCTTCTTTGATGATAGTGAAATTCCCCTATTCCACTCTGAGAGTGTTCATTTTATACCAGCTGAATGGCAAAACTGAACAATCACAATGAACTTTCCTCACAACTGAATACTATAATCCATCAGCATCTTCCCCCACCTTCTCATTTCTAGACCCATCAGGGACAATTCGTTTGGTGGGAGTTTATAAAAATTAAATAATTCACTGTCCTGCTACTAACTTACAAGTGGGTCTACCTCACCCAGAGTTTGTTTGTTGATGAATAGCCAGGCCAGATTTGGAAGCAGCTGGTAGAAACCTTGCTTCTCAAAGGATGATGCCCAGAGCCTTAGCCTTAGCCTCAGCAAGATCCCAGGTGACTGGTCTGCCATTCAAACACTGGAGCAGTATGTCTCCAAACCCGAAGCACTGAGAATGGCTGCATATCCTGAGCCAAAGAAGAAGAGGGAGTACAGCTCACCCTCACCCTGACTTGCCTCCTCCTTCCCTCCTCTCAGGAGCATGCTGCGGTACTTGTCCTATGCTACCCAGGTGACTGGGCAGTTTCTCATCTATTTGGGCTCCTACATGCTGCGTGTGTTGGGTGACACTGAAGAGCCACCTTCTCCCAGGTCACGCTCCAAGGGAAAACCCATGTTTGGGTAAATATGCACATGAAGAGCACTGAGCACTGCCGGTCCTTCCATTCCATTGTCCACTTTTAAATAACCAATTCTGAAAATGCTTATGTTGTTAGCCATGTGCTGTTTGCAGGCCACTGCTGCTCAATACTGGTACCCAGATGAAAGAAAAAGGGTGTCATGCCATTGGAAATGGGGACTGTGCAGCAGGGTGCTGTAGAAGGTGGAGGGAGTTGGGAAAGGGCTCATGGACCCTAGGAAGCCACCAGGTAGCAGGTGTGTCCTGAAGTAGGTAAGGAGCAGCAGCACTAGACCTACTGCCATAAATTCATCACAAAAATTACTTTTCATATGTGTAGCACGTCCTTGTAGTTCTTTAACCCCCCACAAAAGCAAACAGTACTTTCATTGTATCTGCTGTAACAGATGCATCAATTTTAATTCTTTATTGTTGTTAAGTGTCATTAAGTTGGTTCCAATGCACAGAGACCCTGTACAGGGTTTCCAAGGAGCAGCTGGTGGGTTTGAACCACCGAACTTGTGGTTAGCAGTCCAGCACTTATCCTATAGCACCACACCGGGACTCCAAATCTTTATTATTGCTGTTGTTAAGTACCATCAAGTCAGTTCCTACCCATAGCGACCCTGCATAGGGTTTCTGAGGAGCAGCTGGTGAGCTTGAACTGCCAACTTTGCAGTCCAGAGCATCGAGGTCTGAAGTAGGGGGAGGAGTGTGAGAACTCCCAAACATGCAGATAGTACTCATTTGACTTAGATTGGATGGCTTGCTTGATCAGATGAAGATAAATGAGTTTGATACAGGGAGCAAGCATAAATTGCTACAACTTGATGCTTATAGATGAAGTTGCTCAAAATTCCACCGAAAGAGAAAGATTCTTCATATAAGCATCAAGCTTGCCTCCTTAGTACACTGGGTTGATAGGGACGGGCAACTTAAATTTCAGTTCTCAAAATTGAGAGGCTATATATAAAAGCACAAACTTTCATGAGGGTGCTTAGTGTTACAACAAGGTGGGTAAGATAGAATCCCCAGTGAATAGCTGTCTTGTCCAGATTGGTCTGGTGATGTGGGGATAGGATTTTATGATTCAATTGTGAGTAATTGTTATCAGAACTAATGGCGACCATCACAACTGAAAATGTACAAGAGGTATAACTAAAAGGGGGAGGCAGTTCATGTATCATTTTAGGAACACAGGACCCTAGGACCACCAAGAGGGAAGAGCACGAAAGGAGTGAGGGATCTTAACCAGAAAAGCAGTGACAACAGAGATGGTGGACAAGGTGATGGCATAGAGAGACAGAACAACAGAGGACTATAGACTATAGACTTGAGAAAGGCAGTGTGCTTATGGGCAGGCTTGCAAAATGTGCCTTTTGGACATTTAAACAAAAATATATTTTCAATGTGTACATTTAAAAAAAAAAAAAAGATAATAGAGATAAATACTGTTAGCTGATGGTGCGTGGAGGGGATTGTAATCATTGCAATGATTTGTTGAATGTAAAACTGATGATCTGCCCTGTAAACCTTCACTCAATTCACAATAAAAGCTTTAAAATTAAATAAATAAATAAATGTTAAAAGTTATTGTGTGCATATGTTTTTGTTTTGTTTTGTTTTTAGTGTGGGTCCTTCCTAAACCTACCGAAACTAGAAAGCCAAAGAACTTGAAATTTTGGCGATCTTCAAACAGCACTTGTGGTTGATTCATTCACTTTCTTTCTTCCTCTCCCTCTTTTATTCTGTGTGTATGTATATAATATGATATTTATTTCTTCCTTTAATAGTTGATGGAATTCAACAGTGAAATAATTTGATCCTGGAGTTTGTTTGTGGAAGGATTTTTTATTTTTGGTTGTTGTTGTAATTCTAACAAAACTTTATCTTAAGTAATGATTTTCCATTCCCCTAGGCCTATCTCCAAGGAGCATAGTGGTTACGAATCAGGATGCTAATCTCATGGTCAGCAGTTCAAAACTACCATTTGTTCCACTGGAGAAAGATGAAGCTTTCTGCTCCCGTAAAGATTTATAGCCTCAGAAACGCTATGCAGGGTCACTATGAGTCAGAACCAACTCCACAGCACATAACAACAACAATAGCAGCCCTATCTTCTGGTAACCACTAACCTACTTTGTTTCACTGTGCTTGCATATAAATGAGATCATACAGTATTTGTCCTTTTTTGTCTGGCTTATTTAACTCAACATAATGTTTTCCATTTTTATCCATGTAGTAACATGTATCCATACATCAATTCCCTTAATATCTGAGTAATATTCCATTTTATGATGTACCACATTTGCTTATTCATCTTTTGATGGACGTTTAGGTTGTTTCTACCTTCTGACTATTGTGGTAAATGCTGCAGTGTACATTGGTGCACATGTGTCTGTTTGAGTAGATGTTTTTAATTCTTCTGGACATATGCATAGAAGTGTTATTGTTAAGTACCATTGAGTTGGTTCCAACTCACAATGATCCTATATAGAGTTTCTGAGGAACAGGTGGTGGGTTTGAACTGCCAACCATGTGGTTAGCAGTCCAGTGCTTGTCCTACAGTGCCACATCATAGAATTAGTCAATCATATGTAATTCTATATTTAACTTTTTGAGAACCACCAAACTGTCACAGCAATTGTACCATGTACAATTCTACCAGTAGTGGAAGAGGGGTCTAAATTCTCCACATCATTACCAACACTTCTTTTCTATTCTTTTTTTGTTTTGTTTGGGGTTCTTATCTGAGGACAACTTTTGTGGTTTTTTCATAATATTTTTTGTGTAAGTTTTTATTGTGAATTAATTGAGTGATAGTTTACATGGAGTAACATCAGTTTTACACTCATCGTTTCATTGCAATGATTACAATTCCCTCCATGCATCATCATTCAACAGTTTTTGCTTCTATTCCCTCTGGTTGTTGGTTTTGTTGTTTGTTTGTTTGTTTGTTTTTGGGGGGATGTACACAAAAATACTCAGGAATACATAATAATTTAAACAATCAAAGGGCACATTCCTCAAGCCTGCCTCCTGGCCACCAGCACCCAGTCCCTCTCTTTCCATGAGTCTCAGTTGCTCCCTCTCTCCATGTCCCCATCTCTGCCTCCATCACTGGTGTTGCTGCTTCTCAGGATGGAGTCCCATATTCTGCTCGTGCTCTTCTCCCTTGATGGTCCTAGGGTCCTCTGTTCCTGGACTGTAAGATTAACTACTCCCCCTTTTTGTTCCAGAACTTCTACCTTTATTTACAGTTGTGACAGTTGCAATTAATCATGATAACAATTACTCACTATTGAATCATAAGAATCTTATCCCATCTCTTTTCACCAGACCCATCTAGACAAGATGAAAACTATTCATTGGGGCTCTACCTTGCCCTGCACACTCTGAAACTAAAGTCCTCTGAAGAAAACTTTTAATAACAACTTTTCATTATGTATCGTGCTTCCTCTTCAAGGAACCCTGGTAAGACTATGGGGTAAGCATTTGGATTCCAACCACAGGTGGGTGATTTAAACCCAACAGGTGCTCTTTGCTTCCATAAAGATTGACAGTCTCGGTAACCCTAAAGAGCAGCAGACTCTGACCTGTAGGATCACTATAAGTGGGCACAGTTCCAATATTTTCTATTCTTTTATAGTGGGTGTGAAGTGGTATCTCATTGTGGTTTTCATTTCAAGCCACATTTTCAGTATTTTCCTAAGCAAACAAACAAACAGAAACACTGTTGGAAAAGGAGGCCTCTTGAGTTCTTACTGTTCCATATGTTATCTGTCAGGAAGGACCCTGGGTTAGAGGGAATGAACTCTGACTCGGCTGGCTTCAGCTAATCAGGAGCCACAGTGACTCCTATCACTGAGAAGGGCAGCTGTTTCTCTAGCTCCAGGCCTGTTTGGAGATTTGTTGTTCTTCTTGTTGTTAAGTGCTGTCAAATTAGTTCCATCTCATAGAGTTTCTGAGAAGAGGCTGGTGTGTTTGAAACACCAACCTTGATAAGTTCAGTGCTTATCCTATAGCGCCACACCAGGACTCTGATCTGGAGATTTGTTGTTGTTGTCAAGTGCCTTCGAGTTGGTTCTGACTTATAGCGACCCTGTATAGGTTTTCCAAGGAGCAGCTGGTAAGTTTGAACTGTCACCCTTGTGGTTCACAGTCCAGTGCTGAACCTACAGCACCACACAGAGGATCCCAAAAAGACTAAAAAGTACTTGGCCATAAAAGTTTTTCTTTTCCCCAGTTATGTGATGGAAGAACTAGTATACCAGCTCTCTCTGCTGGCTAATAAGTGTACTTAAGTAAAGCAAAGAAGTAAATGTTCCCTGACATATGTTATCTAATTTAAGTTAGGGGTGGTGGTTGTTGTTGTTGTTAAGTGCCCTCGAGTTGGTTTCGACCCATAGCGACCCTGTACAGGGTTTCTGAGGGTGTAAATCTTTACGGGAGTAGAAAGCCTCATCTTACTCCCGCGGAGCAGCTGGTAGTTTCGAACCGCTGACCTTAAGGTTCGTAGCCCGATTCGTAACCACTACGCTACCAGAGCTCCTTTAAGTTAAGGGTTAAGTCCTAGTATTGTCTTATTCTTATACTATGACATGATCATGAGTCGACCCCAGCCACCACATAGTCAGGTAGTTAAAACACCCGAACTAAAATTTCAACCTTTTAAAACCAGTAAGTACATATGTGTTCCAATCCTGGCTTCTTCCCAATTTCTGTTATTCACCTTCGACAGTGATGTATTAATGAATAACCAATCAGAATTTTCCTGACCATCACTTCCCTCTGTAACTGTGTATCAGCTGCGCTCTGTAATTCAGTACTACATTCTGCTAGTCTCTTCTGCCTGGTGCAAACTACCACATACTCTCATTGGAATGACTGTCTTAATCTTGGTTTAATAAAAATATCTTTTTATTAAGTCTGGGGTCTTTTCCCCCACCACATGTTCAGTGACATTCCAACCCACCTCTCAAGCTGTATTCCTATGAAGTAAGTTC